CTAGATAACTTAGGTGACAATACATCATCTTCACGAATTAAGGACTTAAGAGTTTCTAATCTTAAAACGTCGGTAGTTTGAAACTTATCCAATTTATTGTTTTCTTTAGATCTTATTACGGCCAGTTTCTTTATGAAGACAAGCAAATAATTTCAACTTCGTCGTCCTGTTTTATCCGTCGTGATAAGGAGTTCCCTCCACACCCAGGACATTCTCAACAAGCAGTCAACGTGATACTGTTGATAACCCAGGGGAACGAACTTTATAATTGTCCTTTTGGGTTTGTGCTAATAACCTCCAAACGGGATCTGAAATCTCACCAATACACTGTGCCGTAATCAAATCTGAGTCTTTATTCCGAGAAAAATGTTAAAGGCATAACGCTTTTCGAGCGGAAAACTGTGTTTTTAGGCCGTATCAACCTGCGATCAGGTGAAGTAGCAGATCAGTGAACCCATACTACCTAGGGAAATGGGTTTCCGGTTTTGCGGTATCACAATCGGACAACATCAACAAGTAAACAGATAGGCTATTTGGTCACATATTGTTGTAACTGCAGTTGTTCTTCTTCCTTCTCCTTATCCACAACTGTAGACGATCTTAAGTAAGCGGCTGGCCCTTTTCATGGAGACTGGAGTTTTCAAGTGAGGTAACTTTACATTCTACATTAAGTAAGTGATAAATTGTAACAAGCAATTTACTTTTTTTTTTTATCATTTTAAGGGAATCGTCTGTTTTTCTCGTCAACTGAATGATCCCTCGGACTCTAATTAGCACCATTAAATTTAAAATAACAAAATAATAACAAGTGACACAGTAATTTTGCGCTCTACGTAAGAAAATTCAACTCTATTCTTTGGAATCAACTTAAGCTGAATTATGCACCAGCTCTGAGTTTTCCCTGTAACATGAAAGAGCGAGGGAGAAAAAACAAACAAACAAAAACATTTTAATATGATAACTGTGTAGTTGGTCAACAAGCTGCAATTTGTTGAACAGAGTTGAGCGTTTCTTTGGCACCCCCACAACATTCGGTGTTCAACTAGAGCTTCATGGACTAACGAACAAGCCTTAGGCATGGTACTGACTAAGGTGGAATGATTGGGAAACCCTTTGTTATATGTTTTTGTTAGCTTTTTTGGACCTGACCGTGCACAACGTTCAATAGTATCCCTATCATTTTGAAGTTATTGACCATTAGAAACATTGCATTAATTTATTCAGTCATAATTTGTGAACAAACAGCAAAGGATTGTGCACAGTCAGGGAGCTTCCAACATAAACTACAGCACCATTGTTTTCAACTCTGATGTTTGCCGGGTTTCCTAACCAGTCTTCTCTACCAACTATGCCTTAGGCTAGTGTTGTTTTTTAATGTTTCAGTAGCTGTTTAAGAGACTAACATAGAAAGTTTAATGTTAAAAAAAGGCTATTCAATGAAAATGAGATCGCCTCCGTCCTAGTCTAAGGGACGGACAATTAGAAAAGTTATGGGGGGAAGAGGAATATTCGAGCTACAGGAATTTTTTTTCGTCATCAAATTTCTTGTATGAATTTTTTTAGGCCATAGCATGAATATTTTTTAGGATTAATTAACGTGCATGAATTTTTTCATTTAATTTTCCCTTGCGTTGCGCGAATATTTTTTTGTACTTCGCCCGCCCCCCCATAAGTTTTCTAATGATCCGTCCCTAAACCATTTCAGTTCAAATTGCAACTTGTTGAACGACGGCAATAAAAACAGCTGTTTTCTGTTTATTCAAAAGGCAAGCTGAAACACCAATCAGTGGTTATGTTTAGCGCTGTTGATCCTTGTTATACCTCAGGTTTTATTTAGATCATTGCAAAGCCCTTTGGAAAATACCAGACTAGTACATTTTCGGAAAATCATACTGAACGGCAACACAAAGTACATTTACAATAAGCGTTGTCATGCACATTTTTTATCTTTAGTGGCTTGTGGCTTTGAAAAACGGAAGATGCAGCTTGATACTAGCAGCCCTATCCATGATGTCCCTTGCAAAACAAGTGATTGTGTTCTCCCAGAGTGTATCAACTCGAAGATGCAGACCATGAAAAGTAATCTGGACTTTAAAGAGGCAAATAATCAACCATTCAAGTAGGTGAACACTTCTTCCCTCTTTTCTCAGACTTTATCTTAACTTAACATCTACCGCAATGGTCTCGTCATCGTTTCGCACCGCCTTCGTTTTTGCTCGGGGAAAGGGGGGTGGGGGGCAAACTAATGTTTTTATATTCAGTTTCACTTGCGTCGGTACCAGCATTTCTGTGGTTTAGTTGCTTGTCCTGCATCTCAATTTACGTCACGGAAAGGCCACTCCACGAAAACGCCTTTATCAAAAATAGGTTCTAAATGTATTTTTGGCAATTTTATAAAATTATTAAGTTAGCGGCTATCCGGCCCTCACCCCCGCCAGGCTAATTTGTGGCCAGTTGTAAGAATCCTTGCGGATAAATTGTCAGTAAATCATTGTTAACAGAACCTCTTTGTGGTGGCCTTTATCTTATCATCACCCAAGCTCACACGGTAGTACAGGCTCGACCGGATTATTTAGATGAGACAAAATACTTAACTGTACTGTCTCTACTCGTTTCGCCAGTTTTCATAGTATGATAAGTGCAGAAAATCTCGCGAGTTCATTTGTCGACAGTTGTTGACTCCAGGAGTATAAAGATGACGTAATGATGGTGGATTTCGAATTCCTTCTCTGGCCGTCGCTCGCAATTTTCCAAGAATGTTGAGAGTCCCAATAAGACGTACAAAAACTTTTAACGTTATTGTAAAAATCGAATCAACCATGGCTACTCTGATCTGCGAAATGACGTCATAATGTTCAAAATTTGTTGTGACATTTGATTATTGTATCACTTAACATTAGGAAACGCAAAGATCGGAACACAAGTATGGCGGCGTTCACGCCAGCTAGCCAAACTGCTGAGAAAGACTGGGAGCAGGATCTGGCGGACATCCTTAACATTCTGGAGGAAGAAAATTCTACGAGCTCCTCTCATCTGGGGGACAATTCTGTAGTGAACCGGCTCGATGAAATTAATCAAGGGCAGTTGTCATCATCACCTTTACAACACGCTATTGGCCAAGAGGTAAGCTTCCTCCAGACGACTCGCCCGTTGGCTATTCACAACTCACGAGTTAGCCAGAAGGAATTGCAAATTCAACGCACCGTAAACTTCCTAAGAGCTTCAGGTATCAGCACTGAACTGAAGACCAAGTCGAATGATTCTGCTTTTCCAGGAAACGAGCACCTGGAAGTCATGCTGATAGATTCAAGGAAAGGTGGTCATGTTGTTCCCAACAGCACGACAGATAAAGTCATTCAGCCCGCAATCAGCGCTTGTCCAATAATTTCCGATACTTCGTTTAAAATGGATTACGAAAATCCCAATGGTGTGAAACGACCAATACAAGAGGAGATTGGCTTCGAGAAAAATGGGAACGTCCCAACGATTAAGAGAAAGCGAAGAATTCCACAACCAGCAAAAATCAAGTTGTTTGAAATTCTTTCTATGATACTTCAAGCCCTTGCAAACCCACAGATGACAGAATCCAAAGAACATGAAATATATGTCGTGCTTCAGAAGGCACATACAGAGATTCAAAGGATGCAAGAAGTCCGAACTACCCATCCTTGATTAAAAGCATTTCACTTAATTAAGATTATGAAAGTTTGAAATTTAAGTGCCCAGTAACTAAAATAATATTTCGCCGTGTAAGCAGGCGTGAAGACAGTTGGAGACATCTTAAGGCAAGTTAGAGTCAACACTCTCTAAAAGACGGACACTTGACTTCCGTCTCGACAACGAGTCAAATTTTGGTGTCCGTTTTACAGAGGTGTCCGTCTTATAGGGATCGAGTCTGTTAATAGAGAGTAGACTGAAGTTTTAGTAGCTTCACATCTTGTGGCAGGTCTGTCTGTAATAACGCTATTCGTGATTTGTGCCTGTCGAAGCACTTTAAAAAATCTGCCCGCCCTGACCCGTGCTTCCGGAACGCTTAACTTGTTCCTATTTGTTTTATGGATAAAAACCAACTCAGTTCCCCAATGCCGAACTGAGGTAGAGATTATTCACGTAAATACTCCACCTTTTACAAACAAAGGAGATGAGTCTTTAATCGGTCAGTCTTTTATAGGTTGGGGTCAGTATTCGTTTCGCTTAGACGACAATACCATAACGTGCTTTGACTGGATTATCGATCGTATCGTGGTCATTAATTTGACATGTAATTTTTTAAGACTTAAACTGCTCTGTCAATAAATCAGTTTAGAAATACTAGACCTTTTTTCTGTTTATTCTAATACTTTTTCTTTTTGATCACGATTTCCTCCGTCTGTATATCCATCCAGCTAAAAGGAAATCCGTTGTTAAGTACTACACTGTCTTAAAATAAATCAGCAAATTGAACAGGATCCTGTTATTCGATTCTTGAATTTGTTTAAGGGAATCGTCATATGATTTATAATAATAATATGTCCTCATGGCGGTCGGACGCGTTTATTAGCGCTCGTCCAAATAACGACGCTAAATGCCAATATGGCCACTTTGGATTAAGGGGAGAAACAGACAAAATTAATTTGAAGCTTGTAACCTGAACAGAAATTTTATTATTAGCTATAACTTAATTATGCTATTAGTTCCTCTCCCCTTGTGACTCTCTTTTTTTTAATTAAAAAACAAACTTAAAATAGTATTAGGGGCTAACTCGAAAACCTCACGGTTCGTTTAACCTCTAGGCTCCAAATAACTAATTATTATTCTTCGGTTATCACATTGTCAATTTGTTATGTATACAACTTTTTACTTGTAATAATTCTAAGTGTGTGAGTCAATAAAAGATTGTTGTTGTTGTTGTCATCGTTATAAGCTAGTGAGCAGAGCCGGGATTTGTTTAGCGTGTGTACGCAATTCAAATAGCTGGGCATATTACTGAATATTTTTGCTCTTAATTGCTACGCTTTAATTTTCTAATGAAAGCGGTACTGGATGTACTTGTTTGTTGTGAGGTAATTTAAACGAACATATTTAAGCAATAGAAAACGTTCTCCGTGTTCGAACAGCCTGATATAAACACGAGAGGCGTTGGGAGAATTCGAGACAGTTTTTATATCAGGCTATGCAAACACAGGAAAAAGTTTTCTATTGCTTTTATAAAATAACTTTCCCGAGAAAGAAACGCAAAACTCTTTGTATGGCCCTGATTAAAAGAGAAATTCTTACCAGTCGTAAAATCTTGTCCACCAAGTCTTGCACGCGTAATCAGTTCTTGTTTTGCAAAAAGATGCTTTGCAAAATACGGATTTTTCTCGCTAAAAATGTCAGCTTGAGTGAGGAAAAATTGACTCAGCTTCTTTGTAACGATTTTCCATGTTTCAGCCGACGAAGGAATGGGTAAATAATGTAAACTTGTCCAGTTTTGAACTCGAATACTTTTTCGAATTCGTGCTTGGGTGATTAGCGCGCGAAAAGCCAAATAACTTGACGCCACAACCATGTTTACATACTCTCATGCAAACACTCCTCTCGGCCAATCAGAGCGCGCGTACTATCTTAGTTATTTTATTGCCCCCCTAGTAACTCGCGCGTATATTAAGGACAGCACTTACAGTTCAAATATACAGTCAGTATACTAGAAAAAATCTCGATTTGCTCGAACTGGGGCCGCGAGGAATCGGTAGGTAATGATGACGTTTCTATTGTTTGCCCCCGTAAGTACGAAATGGTTAGGATGACGTAAAGACAGAAAATCCCGAAGGGACCGCTCAGGTAGATTTTGTGACATTTATTGTGCAGTCATACTTCGATACTCTTTTGCGTTACGCAGTGACATTCTGTGGAGAAGTTGTTTTGAAAGTTATGGACCAAAAGACACTCGTTTAAGCGCAGAGGAGGTTATAAGGTACGTTTAACTGTGTATATATAAACACTTGGAGAGTTTGCCAGACACGAGTTCACAAATCTTTGATTTATATTGGAAACCTTGCCAGACACACTTTCTCTCTCTTTGACCGAAATAGGACTCAGCCCCAAACAAGCAAGACGAGTGAACAACGGCTAGCCTATCACTAACAGAACGATGGACGATTACAGAAATTCGCAGACAATCAAATTCTGTGCTGACTTAATCCCTGCTCACAGATGTCCTTCCGTTATAAAGTCTCAAATAAGACTAGAATGCGCTAGCGTGAATCGATCAAACGTCCTTTTAATTTCTAGGGCTTACTTTCCGGCAAATAAAATGAACTGAATGTAAAAAGGGAAAGAGAAATAGCGCAAAATTCAACTTCTAATTAAATCTTTTCCTATGGTTTAGAATAAACTATTCTCGAAACTGAGAATATTTTGATCAAAGCTGTGTAAATCGAGCTGAAACTGTGCATGGAACCCTGCGTTTCCTGTAATTATCTCACCTGTTGTTTGGAATATGTGTGAAAATCTTCATTATGAATCGGTATATTTCAAAGAGCTACATAACGAGCAAGAATACTATTGACCGACAATACACAGAACGGGGGCAGCTGTAGTGTCAACTATTACTGGTAAATAATAATAACACAGTATTTTCTCAATGCTGCTAATGCAATTAACGTTAATTAAGATCCTTTTTCTCCTCCCTTCCCCCACCCCCACAGACCCAGATGGCAGAGGTTAAGGAGTTCGAACGCGTACTTGGCTGTGGAAATACACTCAAGATTTGTTCTGCTCAATGAATCTTTATTACTGAGAAATATGGACATTTACACTTCTAGGTTTTTCGTTTACTTGATGAGAAAATTAAAACTGAAATTTGCCGGGAAGAAAGTCTTAATAAAAGCTTTTGTATGAAGAGAAAGGAAGGTTTCGGGTTTTTGGTTCAGGGTAAATTATTGGTCTGATAGTAGTAGCATTTAAAGATTATCAGTTATTATTATCATAGTTGTTATATCATTAAAAATACATAACGGAAAGTTTCATTGTCTGTACTTTAATAGACCATAGATATGACGTCATAGCGGTACGTTCAAACTCATGCCCTCATAGAATTGTTGTTTTACAAAATTTCGTCATTTTCCAAATTCGATATCCTGAAACATTCCGGGTTGTTTCTGGCATAACTTGCAAAGGTAGACGTGTTAGCCTCGGCAAGAACAGCGGGAAAAATACTAATAAGTACGTTAGTTACACACGCAAACCAAGCACAAACGTATTCCTCCTCGATGAAAACCGTTCTGGGCAATTCAGTAAAATAATGAGTAAAAGTTTTCGGTTCAATTGTCTTCTGTGTGGGTGTTTCCGGACGTTTCAGTTACTTGAAGATTATATGCACCTTGATTCATGGTGCAATAGGACGTCTTTTTTGCCTAGCTTTTTTTTTTGTGACGAGAGAAAAGAGTCTTTTCTTTGACCCAATAAAAAATTGTTTTTGTTTTAGTATCAATTTAGTTGTTTTGAATCTCAAAATAGGTACCCTGAACTACTTGAACTGTGATTTACCTACTCAATATTCACTGAGCCCATCCTAGCAGATTTTGACGTCATAAGTTGACAATTTAAAGGAAGAGAAAAACCACTAATTCTAATATCAGTCGTCTGGCGAGTTATTTATAACGCTGGTTATTTCCAGCGTCCTATATTTGTAACTTTCGATAATGTCATACTTCAACATACTAAAATGTTTTGCTAATTTAATTTAAGAAACTTTCATGCTTCACCCCTTTTCTCCTCAAACTTTAAAATTCGTGGACGAAACACTAAACTTAAGGACAGAACTAGGGCAATCGGCTCCTGACTGAGCATAACACCTTTAACCTTGAGCACCGACGAATACGTCTCGGTTCTGATATGTTGTGCAATTTTTCTACTCGACTGCGGTATGTTTTAGATCGTTACGGTAAGCGCAGAATTTGAGATCTGCGATGCATGACCAAACAGCTGCACTGCAACGTCAAATGTTATAGGTCATAATTTGGCGGTAATAATTCAGTGACGTTGATCATGATCATATCACTACGAAGTACTTTGCACAGAAAACCTGTCATTATAAAACAGTTGAAAAACTCTTTCATTATTGCTTTAATAATGAAGTGCATTTAAGAAAATTTAGAATCAGTTTTCCAAAGGAAACTTGTCTTCTAGTGACATGCCTTAGCAAGCTGCAATCGCAAGTAGTTTTAAAAGAGTCATTTTAATCAATTATCTAAAATCTTAAGCAAGGCAAAGCACAGGTAAATAACTATAGTGATACATACGTCATATAATAATGACAATATCAAAAATATAGTAGTAGTAATGAGTTATTAGTGAATTGTTTGTGGATCGCATTCACATCATCGAGTGTGACGTTACTATTTTACATTGTTTGTCCTTCAGCAATTAATAAAAAAAGTAGTCAAATATATTTTTAACGTTAAGCAAATAATACGTTTCGAAATTTTGTTTTCAGTTAAATATTTTTTCAGTGCGTAAACTGCGGTTTTAAAACAATCGACTTTTTGCATGAGCAATATAACTAAGATTGTTTTGACTGAAATGTCAAGTACGTAACTTCCTACACACTTGGTCGGTCGTGCACGTGCGTCTCATTCTAATCCAACTTGATGATATTTAGCAATAAAAAGCACACAGATAGACACATATGGGCCTGAAAATGAGAAAATCAAGACAAACATTGTCCAATGTCTAAGGCAAGCAGCGGAAAAGTAAATTTGATTACCATTCATTGAGATCTTCGACTGGAAAATCACTTCTTCCGGCACAGTGAAGGTCTGAAGACGTGGACAAAAACGTAAACAGTTGAAATACTCAGTGTTCTTTAATCAAGGGAAAACACCTTTTTCTGGAGTAAAAAGATTGTCCTTAAACTTGTAAAATTACACTATTAAATTTTACACTGAAAAGAAGTGCATAAAAGGATGTGTGTCAGTCAATGTCTGTTAAGTTGAGAGCACATACTAAGAACATTCTCACAAACAGATAACGTTTACAAAAACTTAAACCGTTCGAAGATCAGAATTATGCAACTTTTTAAAAAGGTAAGCCTAGTTCTTATATTATTCAGTATTTTGACTAGTAAGAACTAGTCTTTTATGAGGCAAGAGTTTTGAAATCAGCGGAACATGTACAACAACCCTTAAAATTGGAATATAATCCGTGATTGGTTTATGTGGTTCATTAAGTATGGATTATCCCCTTTTGTAAATTGATTGGGAAGGAGCCTTTGGACAATGGTGACGTTATATTTTTATTAAGGTTTTCCCCAAATTTAAGGGAATGATAATTCATGTTAGCAAATTTATTTGAAACATCGTTGGTCCCCTCAAGTCAAATAACCTGTTTTTTGGTGGCAGATAAGGAAGGTCTGACTTTCGTCATATTGATCCAAATGTTTTCAGCCTAAGATGCAGAACGTTTCTCTAGGCAAGGTGATTACTCGTTTTTTATGGGCTTGTTAACGTGCTTCGGACTCGCATTGTTATGGTCTGATTATTCTCTGATAACGGTAAACGTATTCAAGTTCTCAGACATAACTTAACCAGTAACCAGTAGACGCGTTCATTGTTTTCAGCTTTTCGCTCTGGCAGTGTTTGTTAGCGTCATTTCTTTGTCTCTTGAAATGAATTGCCCTGGATTTCGTCAAAAGCCCCAGAAGACGCTCAAGCGCCTCCGACGACATTTCCTATTTGTCGAGAAACCTTTCGCAACGCCCCAGTCACTCGCTACCGCAAATCCTCGTCGTGTTAGCCGTGATGTCAACGTGCAAACGCCAGGCACCTCAACATGCCCCTGGAGCTGGGCCCAAGATGACAACCCAGATCGTGTCCCACGGTTCCTGTCCAAAGCTGTGTGTCCTGATTGTCCTCATTACTGCCGTTCAGTGTTATATTATCACAGAGGACTGGTGCAGAGATGTGACGTCTCAACAGGACAAACTGTCTGGAAATGGACTTTAGTAGAACTGCCTGTGGCATTTGTTTATGATCCATAAAATGATATCCTCTCATGTACACCTGCTCACATCGAATCATTTTTCTGCGTCCATTATTCTCAGCGCTGCATGCGGTTACCTTTCTCACCAGAAATACATAAAATATATTGAAGATATGTTATATAGGACTATCTATGTTATTTAAATTACAGTTGCCTAGGAAACTTTGATATAGAAGAATTGTATTAATTTTTTAAGACAAAAAAATTATTTATTTAAAAAAATTAAATAAAGAACAAAAGTAAAGAGATACCGGCAAAGTTTTGTTTAACATAATGTCTTTAAAAATTGTGACACCTTGATACGCTGTTATCCACCTTCCAGTCACTCGGCTCTGGTACTCGGCCTTCCTTGATCCCGATAATGAAACTAATCGATCGGCCCCCTTTGATCTCCTGAAGAGATGATGATGATGTGTATTCGCCTTATACAGGTGTTGACGTCTGTTTTTTGTGAATTTGAAATCTCTTCATCCATAATTATAAATCAATACTTAGTTTGCGATATTAAGCGGAGACGCCTGGTACAAAATAAACTGCACTCCCTCCCTTCTTCCCTGCCTTCTCCCCAGTTTCCCCTCGGATGACCAATGTTTCTCCGTTAGCGAGTCCCAATCTATAATTAACCTTCATTAAAATCGCGTTCATGCTCGGACCCCGGGACAACTCCCATATAAAAGTGAGGTTTCGGAGCGAGCAACTTCCATGCGCTCATGTCTCGGCGTTTTCACGTACCAGTTTATTTTTAGAAAGGTTTTGGCGCAAATTTTGAATATCTCTTAAAATTCAACAAACCAGTCAGCAAAACCTACAGACCTAAAAATGATATTTTCGCCTTTTAATAACGTTTAGTTTTCGTTTTTGATATCTTATACTTCGAATGCGCTAATAAACATGGTGGAAATTTTAAGTGTCCTCAAATGTATCTAAAAATAAACTGGTCCGTAAAAACGGCGTGACATAGGCCTAGCTAGTATGGGCTCCAGAAGGTGTAAATTGCAGATTTTGGTCTCACTTATGGTCTTTGGGACGGAAAGTCACTATATTTTCCAGTTAAGGAACCGTTTAGGGCTGTACAAAAAGAAATTTACACTAAAAAATGCTATGATACTGACTTTACGGAAATCTAACTTTTAAAAAGGAACACAGCATCCCGTGCATTTATTTAGATCCATAACTCCTACTTAGATGTCTGTTATATTAAATATGGACTCCTTTGGGGGTAAGTGTAAGCCGTAACTGGCATCAAATTCAAATCGGCATTCCTACATACGTAATGAGCAGTGAATATTTTAAGAGAATTTCTCTGTATTCAGTTTTGTCAGATTGAAAACCTTGTATTGAATCCCCATTCATTTAGTTAATGCTAGTATTAACCCTCAGACGTACAAGGGGAAAGGGGGGTGGATGCCACCCCCGGCCCGCTAAGGCTTTTCTGAGTTTTCTCCTAGATAAAACATCAGCACCTGATGTTTTTATTACTGTTCATTCATCTCTCGCTCGCATTTTGAGTCAAGTTCAGTGATGGTCAGTTTCTATGGTTACGAGATATGACGCCATAAGTAGGAGGTGGTCAAGCCAGTTTTGATTGAAAGTGCATGCTTTTTCACTTTTTTTCAACAATAAAAGTAAATCTTGTGGCTAAAATCATGCAAAGTACCTATTTATGTGTTATTTTTCAACTCAATGACAAAAAATCACCATTTCTCGTGGTTTTAACCTGATTTCTAATTCTTGGTAAAATCTAAGATGGCGGCCAAGAAGGCGACCATTGTTAATCAAAGGCTTTCCACTTAGGGACCGTGCAATAATTATCAGGAGGGGGGGGCCTAAAACCGGAGGGGGGGCCTTAAGTTAAAATAATGGAAAGGAGGGGGGGCTCTACATTAGATTTCTCAAGTAAGTTGAGGGGGGGTCTTAATTAAATTTCACAAATTCGATAATGAATAAATAAACATTTTCCAAATAGACAGATGCCACTGCTTTGACTATCCATAATGTCTAAATATTGCATCAACATAAACACATGCTTTAACTTATTTAGAATGTCAACATATGATAGATTGAAACAATCGTCCATGCACAGAAGTCACAAACCACGTTGTGAGCTTTGCCAATAAAACATTTGGCATTTAAGAGGTCCCGCAGACATGCCAGGTCTGTTCTTGATTTAAACAGGGAGAGGATTTCTAGGTCTACAGTTTCTAGCTGAGGAATGCCACAAGTTTCATAGCTGTCATCACTTCATAGAGTACCAAAAATTCCTTGCAATGAAAGCAAAAAAACAGGCAACGGAAAGGAACAAACTTCCAGACATTAATTGGTCCGACGAGGTTGAAGTCAACTCGCTGTCTGCAAGTAAACTGAAACTCTACCTAAAAGAACACGGTTTACCCGTCAGCGGAGGGAAAGCAGCACTCGTAGCTCGTGTTCTAGGTGTTGGGGAAGCTCAAGGTAAAGAAAACCCGGATGAGCAGCAATCTAGCAGTTCCGAAGACCAAGAAGATAATGAACAATCAGACGATTCGGAAATTGACGATTATGAACGAAGAACAAAGTTTCGAGGTGCTCTTCATCCCTGACGACGCAGTGGAATGCGTTGCAGTACGGTGAATAAAGGTACAGGTAAGAGAGGGGGGGCACATCATAATTTTGAGAGAACGTGAGGGGCGGTCAGAGCTAATCTTGACGCTGCTGGAGGGGGGGACCTATCTAATTTTTCCTTTGGTGAAGCTCATTTTAGGACCCCCCCTTCCTGATAATTATTGCACAGTCCCTTAGGGTATAATCGTTTCGAAATACTGCAACGTATCAAACACTCGAGGGGGGTTCCATCCATCCCCCTCCCCCTTGTACCACGGTGGGGGTATGAATTTGCATTTACGCCCGAGGGTTAAACCTATTCTTGAGTACTGTGTCTCCGTTTGGGGAGGTTGTAATGCAGGATTATTAGCTTTTATTGGATGAGATTTTTAAAGTTCAAATGGGTTGCTACCCATCAATCAATTCTGTACTGAGAGAAGACTTCTGCTCAAAAACGTCCTTGGTAGACGTGCACCGGATCATCCCTCTGAGAAACTGTTATCTTTGAAATGTCATAAGTCTCATGATACCAGGTCTCGGTTGCCTTATCACCTTCCTATTCCACGTACCGCTAGCATGAAGCGAATGTTCTTTAACAATGCAGTTAAACTTTGGAATAATATCAGCGGCGATCAGATTTAGTCCGCTCTTCTGATGTAAAGAAGTTCAAAAGAAATTACTTTGATTTAGTCATGTGTAAATTTAATTCCCGTCTAACAGTTTTAAATGACTTAATATGATTTTTTAACTTATTATCTTAAAGTACTAAGCTTATTTAAGTTTCTATTTATGAGTAAATTCAAGTAAATTCTCGTCTCAGGAGTTTTAAACTTGACAGAATATTTGTAGCTTTTTTAATCTTGATATTTAAATTATTTATTACATTATTTTTTTGGTTAGGAATTCGTTCATACTTAGCTAGCCTGCGAAAACAGCCGTTTCTTTACGCTCTTCGCCGCCATTTCGCGAGGAGGAACGTCTGTGACTCAGCGACTCCATACTGATGACGTAAATCAATGTTTACACAATAAATCCGGTGGTCATAAGGTTTCAAACGTAAATTTGTTTGATTTTTTGTTTTTCCTGGTCGATTATAGGGTAAAGTTCTGTGATCTCTTGTGAACGAGCTCCAGCAAAACTCAGATGGTTTTTCTAAAGATCAAATGTAGTGGATTCATCATATTTAAATTTGACCTTTGTAGCCCTGTCTTTTGTCTGTCATTCGCAAACAATAGGTACAGTAGGCCGTTATCTTCTTGCGGTGTAATTTGTCTTGTTATTGCAAGAGTTATACTACCACATGAGAAATTTCTGCAATTTGATTTGCTTAGACAGTGGTATTTCAGCTTAATTTGAAATAACTACATGTGAAAATTGCAAACGTGTTGTGGGTAGTAGTATAAACAAATAATAGCATGATTTGTACGTGATATTTGGCTCAAATACCACTCGTGATATTTCAAAAATGTCTTAACTTTCACTCGCCTAACGGCTCGTGAAATTATGTATAACAATTTCGAAATATCACTTGTGGTATTTATACCAAATATCTCTACAAATCATGCTATTACCTATACCAATTTCAGTCTACACAGCATACGTTTCAACGATTCGGGGCCAAACCACCCCCCCAAAGGGCTTATTAAAGTATCATCCAGCAGGGCAGGAGCCCATGTCCAGGGTAAAAATAATTTTTCCAAATTTGCAATTTTTAAATGATTAAATAGAGCTAATCAAGAGCTTTCTTTAAAAAAAAATCCCAGGAAAAAATGTTTTTTCTGTGCAGACTTTATGAAGCGCAAAAGTTTTTTCTATGCTAATTACTTTTAATTGATCTTTGACAAGTCCTGTCATACTTGATACGCATGCCGCTGTTGAACTAAGCTAATCACGCTATTTGACAGAAATCGTGGTCTACAAGTATAGTACTCACTGTTTTTCCCTGGAAGCGAATGCCTCCAAAGAAGAAAAAAAAGCTTCTCTGTTTTCGTACACGACTCCAAGACGAAAGAAGACGACAAAATCGTTTGCAAAGAGTGGGCTTTGAAATTAGCGGAGAGCGACAAGGGCAACTACTACTACAATCAAGAAAAATGGCTACAAGATGACAAAGCTCCTGAAAAACCATTGAAACCACCGCGGAATCGAGTTTAACGAGTTTCTTAGCGAGGGGGACAAGCTTTTTTGGCCGCGAAGCGGTCAGGCGAGCGACAAAAAAAATCGGACGAAGGACTGTCTTGAAAGTCTATTGTAGCGGGAGAGAAGCTTCAAGAAAAACTCCAGGAAGCGGTTTGTTATCAATATTTCCAGGGAAGTATCGAACTTTTAGAAAATGTATCGGATAAAAGTTGGCTTGGTTCAACTTGGCTTGTCCGGTGCAAAAATGAAAACTGCACGTTGCAAATAAGTAATAATGCT